TCTTTCCATGACTATCGCTGTGTAGATCACCGTAGAAGTTGCCGCAATATATAGCATCATGTCTTCGTATTTCTTTGGTGGCGTGAGAACGGGCGATGATGTGAGGTATGCTTTAAGTCTTTTGAAAGCTTCGTTGGCTTCCTCTGTCCACTCGAACTTGTCTATCTTCTTTAGTAGTTTAAAGAAAGGTAACCCTTTTTCGCCGAGTCTTGATATGAAACGATTGAGGGCCGCCATGCAGCCTGTTAGTTTCTGCACATCTTTGACGCTTCGAGGGGGTCCCATCTCTGTTATGGCTCGAATTTGTTTGGCGCTGGCTTTGATTCCACGATGACTGACCAAGAATCCGAGTAGTTGTCCAGAAGAAACTCTGAATACACACTTGCTTGGGTTGAATTTCCACCTCCACCTTTTTAGGTTTTCGAAGGTTTGCTTTAAGTCTTCAATAAGTGTGTCCGGGTTCTTTGTTTTCACTACTACGTCATCCATGTATGCCTCCACGTTTTCGCCGATCTATTCACCAAGGCATGTCTAGATAGCTCTTTGGTAAGTGGCACCAGCATTCTTGAGTCCAAACGACATGGTCTTGTAGCAGTAGGCACCGAACAGAGTGATGAAAGATGTCTTCCTCTGGTCTTCTTCTTTTAAAGCGATTTGGTGATATCCTGAATAGCAATCAAGGAAGGATAATAGGGCAGATCCTGCTGTTGAATCAACTATCTGATCAATGCGTGGTAGCCCAAATGGATCTTTCGGGCAGTGTTTGTTGAGATATGTATAGTCGACGCACATGCGCCACTTGTCTGTATTCTTCTTTTGTACTAGAATTGGATTTGCTAGCCAATCCGGATGAAGGATTTCTCTGATGAATCCGGCTGCCATTAGCTTTGTGATTTCTTTTTTAATTGCTGCCTTCTTGTCGGGTGAGAATCGTCTTAGTCGTTGCTTCATAGGCTTGGAGCCTTCGTTGATATCGATTCTGCGCTCAGCCAACTCTCTTGGGACACCTGGCATGTCGGCCGGCTTCCAAGCGAAGATATCTTTGTTGTCCCAAAGAAAGTTGGTGAGCGCGAGTTCCTATTTTGCCGAGAGGTGAGCACTGATGGTTGCCGTTTTGGCAGGATCACCGGTTCCCAGGTCTATTTGCTTGACGTCGGCTTCTTTTGGTGGTGCTAGGATGCTGGGCTTTTTAGTTGGTATCTCTAGTTCTTCCGGGCTCAGTTCCACGACAATAGCAGCTATTTCTTTTCTACCATTGGTTGCTTGTGCTTTGGCTGCAATTTGAATTGCCTGAACATCACAGTCAAAAGCGCGCTTCAAATCACTTCGAAGGGAGAGGACTCCGTTAGGCCCTGGCATCTTTAGCAATAGGTACGGGTAATGTGGTATTGCCTTGAATTTTGCCAGTGCTGGACGTCCGAGGATTGCGTGGTATGATGATTCAAAGTCTGCAACTTCAAACTTGATGAACTCTATGCGGTAGTTTGAGGGAGTTCCAAAAGTAACTGGTAGAGTGATTTGTCCAAGTGGCATGGCTGCCTTGCCGGGTACTATCCCATAAAAAGGTGTGCTCGTTGGTGTAATCATGCTGGCGAGTTGTAATCCCATCTTCCTTAGAGTTTCTGAAAAAATAATGTTGAGTCCGGCTCCTCCATCAATTAGTACCTTTGTGATAGTCATACCGGCAATAGTTGGATCTAGAACCAGTGGGTAATGACCTGTGTTTCCTACGCTAGTCCATTGGTCTTCTCTTGAAAACTGGATCGGATATTGTGACCAATTGAGATATCTTGGAGTAGCCGGTTCTGCTGCCATGATGGTTCGGAGAGCTAACTTTTCTTGATGTTTGCTTCTGGAATCTGGAGCCCCGGTGAAGATCACTACTACTGTTCCCCTGGATTTTTGGAATCCCTAGTCTTCGTGGTTGTCTTCATCTTTTTTCTGATTGTCTTCTTTACTGCTCCCCTTACTATCTTTTCTTGTGTATCGTTCATTGAAGGTGTAGCAATTTCCAATGGTGTGCTTTCCATTAGGGTGCAATGGTCAATGCATGTTTTCAATGTCGTCATACCTTCTGGGCTTGGAAAACTTCCTTGATTTTTCAGTTACCGCTACGGTGTTGTCTGGTCCACGTTTTCTCTCGGTGTCTATTGTTTCGATGATTTTGCTTATCCGGGTTGTCTCGGTTGCTTCTTTTTGGGAACCTTTCTCGTGTCTTCTCCTCCGCAGTAATCATTTTTTCTACTGTGCGTCTGAATTCTTCATTGTTTCTCGGGTTCTCTTTGTAGAAGTCCTGAAATTGCCACCTAGCCATGATTCCGTGAGAAAAAGCTTTGATTACTTCTCATTCGGTAATGTCATGTACTTGGGCACGTAATTCGCCAAATCATCGATAGTAATCTCTAAGACTTTCGCCCCCTTTCTGCTTGAGTCCCTTTAATTCTGTGTGGGTGATTGGGTGCGTAATGATACCTGCAAAATTTTGACAAAAAACTCTTTGCAAGTCCTCCAAATTTCTGATTGATCCTAGGTTCAATTTGTTGAACCATTGGAGAGGAATGGTTTCCAGAGCCATGGGAAAGAACAGGGTCTTGATATCGTCGTTCCCCCCAGTGAGTTCAATCGATTGTGAGTAGATTCTGAGCCACTGCCTTGGTTCGGTCTTGCCATCATATTTAGAGTGGTTGGACGACTTGAACTTGTGCAGTAATCGTATTGAAGTGAGTCTACTTGCAAAATAGGGGAATCTATCATGTGTTCTGGCTTCTCTGTACTCTGATTTGGCACCTCCTTCCAACCAATTGTTGTTTTGGTGAGAGTAGTTCTGCGGGGTAGTCCGAATGGGTGCTTCGCTTCTGATCTGTCTTGTTTGTTCGGCTTAGTAGTTTTGACTGTGGTCCCTTCTACTTTCTCTGTTGTGACTTCCACTTGGTCCAAGTCTCTCGAATGCGGACTTCCTTTGATTTTGATCTTCCGTCCTATGAGATGTTGATCTGGCGGGTAGTCTTGAACGGGCTCTTCCATCGTGCGTCTTTAGGGCTGCTGTCCGGAGAAGTTCTCGGAGCTGTTCCTGCTGTTTGTTGGGATGCGAGGTTGTTCCGAGTTCTTCAAGTGCTTCTCGGATCCTGTTGTAGGGTGTGTTCACCGCACGTCTTTCTTCAACTTCTTATTCTGATTTTCTTCTATTGTATTCGGCCAGATCTGACTCATATCTAATCTAGGCTTCTTTACGCTGCCTAGCGCGTCGTTGGCGTCCTTGTTTTAATTTGTTTCTTCTTTCTCTAGCTTGCCTCTGACTCTCGGTCTCACCATCGTAGCCCTAGGCAAAGGGTGATATGTTGGACTCAGATTCATCTGATGATCTGACGTCGGGTGCTTCTGGGGGGATCAATGGTGATCGAGGACGGCGAACCATGAGTACTTCCCGTGCGAGGACTGTTCTATTGCTGGTATTGGTTTCCATAGTGTCACAGTTGCTGATAACTTTGGTAGAAGCTTCAAGGTCACAGATCGAGTCTCCTTCTTGGTAGGGTAGAATTGTTGTTGTCGTCGTGCCGACCAGTCGGGTACTGCTATCCTCAGGAATAGAACCTGGCCAGTGGACAATGCAGTCCTGAGACGTTATGGTTAGCACGAGACCTTTCTGAGCTCCTTTCAATGGCATTCTAAGCACTAGATCGAGGGGTCCTTCGGGCCGTGCCTGATAGGACTTTGCCATGTTGTGGAGTCCAAACGAAAAAGGATCTGACTTCTTGAAAAGATTCTGAGTGTTCTCCGAGTTGTATTCTTGATACGCCAACGCCACGTTCTGGAGCCCCATCGGAAAAGAACTCGGATCTTCGAAAGAACTTGGGTCAGACTCCATCTCGGATGCGGAGCCTGAGTTTGAGTCGGATGCGCAAAGCCGTGAAACCTGAGTTGAATCGGACGTCACGAGCTGTGCGAGTCTTCTAGTGATTTGACCTATCGTAGTCGCCAAAATGGAAAAGTCTTCATGATGAACCGAATCTTCGAGAAGATGGCTTTGGAGCTTGCCATCGTCGCCTGCCTCGTAGATCCACGAACCGAAGATGAAGGTTGATCCCGTTGAGAAGATCATGTTTGTCGAGGTCCGTCGAGCTCTCGGATGCAAATTTGCCGAAAGCCCCTACCTGGCGCGCCAGCTGTCGATGTTTTACCACCGATAGCCTGCCACGGGGTTACCCGGGACAGTATGTTTGGGCTTCAGCGTATGCAGAACTCGACGGTGAATGCAAGAGACAGTCGACTTATCCTAGTTCAGGCCCTCGACGGTGGTCGAGTAATAGCCCTACGTCCAGTCGGCGTTAGCCTTTGCGTTGTATTGATTGTGTGTTGTTGTGTTATATCGTCATCATCCTCTCTAGGAACCCCGCCCTTCTTTATATAGTCAGGAGATTAGAGTCCTAGTCGGTTTACAATGAGAGTTCATAGTAGGATTACAGAATAATACTACTACTAGGATTACATGGGAAGAATCCTAGTTGGACTAGATCTTCTCCCTTCCTGGCGGGGTATCCTGTGGGTCCCGCATCGACAAAGACACTCTGGTTCGGTGAAATTAGGCCATAGGACACTGCACACCGGTTGCAGCCGGTTGAGGACAGAGAAGAGCGGTGAAATGACATTCTTGCCCCTGTAGCTTTCTTCTTCCTCTCTGTCATTCTCTTTTTTCTGTTTTCTGTGTCGGCGCACGAAGGCGAAGCTGAGGCGGCGGCTGCCAGTGTGGCGGTTGTGGCGGTCGAAGGCCCGCTGCTGCTAACCTCATATCCCTCCACCGCGTGCTCGGAGGGCTTCACCAGCACCACGGGGGTCTTTCTCTCTAGCCGGCAGCGGTGCTCCTGGACTAGCTGCTCCACCACGGCGTCCAGCCGCTCGCCGTTGGTCTGCGCCATCAGCTTCTTGCCACGGAACAGCACCGACAACACGCCTCGCTCCGCCAGCACCGCCTCCATCGTCTCACTAGGCGTAATGCCGTTGCCCTAGATGCGAACGTAGTTGGTCGCTCTCCTCTCCTCGAACGCCATCGACACGGCCTGGTCAACCTGCGATCGAAACAAAACAAACCGCGAGAGGCGCACTATCAGTCCTGTCCTGTCCGTTCGTTCGTTCCAACTGCTACCCTGTTCGAGAAATGGTGCCGGCCATGCAGACAGGCTCACCATGTCGGCCTGGCAGGCTCCGGCGATGCGCAGGAGGCTGGAGGACGAGGGGCGACCCAGCGAGGAGGCGGCGCCCGGTGCGCTCCCGCCGAGGGACAGCACCACGAGGTCGGCCATGCCGGTAGTGAAAGGGAACTCGCGCTTGTTGTGGAGCACGTGCGTGAGCGCCACGGCCGTCGGGTTGGCCACAGCAGCGGACGCTCCACCCCTGCTGGCCCCCGCCGCCCCCACGCGTGACGTGCAACCTGGTGCGCCCGTCTAGGGACGCCACCTCCACGGGGCCCACGCCTCAGTTCACGGCGCGCACCTACCATAGCAGGAAGTCGAACGCGTCGGCCTCCACGGCGTCGGCGCGAGAGAACACGAACGGCACTGCACTCGCCATGTCGTAGCACGGGATCAGCAGCGGCATTGCGGCGTCACGCACCGTCAGGTCGCCGAACACCTTCTGGAACAAGGCCTCGGGGCGGGCGCACCGGAATGACATCGACATCAGCCCCCCGCCGCTCCCGCCGCGCCCCCAGACAGGACCTTGCGGTTCTTGGCCACGAACTCACGCGCCACCTCGGCGGGCATCCGGCACGCGAACAGCACCGCCGCGAGGAACCCGCCAGCCCTGGAGCCGGCGGCCAGGTCGAAGAAGTCCGCGACGCGCGCGGTAGGGGCAAGAATGTCATTTCACCGCTGTTCTCTCTCCTCAACCGGCTGCAACCGGTCCACGGTGTCCTGTGGCCTAATTTCACTGAACCAGAGTGTCTTCTGGCAAAATGCTCCTAAGTGAATGTCCACCAGCAAAGGACCATCACTTGGGATGTCCAGCAGACAATTATCCCATTGCTTAATGTACTTGCACTGCCACAAAAGTCATTAGCGACATGTTGCCGTTGGACACTATTTTATATACTAGTTGCATAATGAACAGTTCATGCTATGAATATTACAAAATGGATGCCAACAAAGGTATCACAATATTTTTGGAAATGGGTGAAAACGATATGATTAAAGCAGTACATTCTGCTGTGTGATGCTGATGATATGACTGCCGATTCGAGTGCACGCAGTCCTCTAGTCAACACCATTTTGATTCTGTGTCGCCTTCACGGTTATCTCTATCATGGATACCGATTCTGTCACCAATGTTGCATAATTGAAGGATAAGTTTAATTTGCTGTAGGACAATATCATTTAAACATGGCATTAGCTAAGGAACATTAATCAATTGTGTATTTACTGGTAGACACCCTTCTTTTATGGCTATTTGCTATTGGACATTGAATCCAACAAAATATTGTTTTTGTGTTAGGGGAGATAGATGTGATGAATGGACTTAGGACCTATTTGATAACAGTTAGAGTATTATAATCAAAGATATGTATTATAATTTAGATTATGGTTGTTATAATCAAAGTGTTTAGATCCCTGGATTATTGTTTTTACACTTATAATCTCAAAAAATCAGGTCTTAGATGGATTTTAGGATTGTTGTAATATGGCGTTTGGATTATAATAAATCCACCCCCATAAATTTAGCTTGTTTGGATCGTACTCGGATTCTTTTATCTGATTATTATGTATAATCAAAGTGGATCCAACCAGGTCTTAATGCCTATGATTGAAAGGATACACGATATATAGTAGGGGCGTGTGACTAGGCTAAACCTGAAATTCCAAAATCAGCGGGGGATTAGATACCAAGTACTGGAGATTTGGGACCTACTAGAAATTTTTGACCGTGATTGGAAATTCTGCCACGGTCCAAATTTCTGGACCCTAGAATAAGGGCGTGCCTAACGCCTGGACGTCTGGACGGACTCCTGCTGCTCCATTTCCCTCTGACACCCGCGTCCGGGAACTCCCGTGCCCGCATGCACGCGGGGCCATGTGCCCCTGCCTCCATCCCCATCCGACTTTGCATTCGGGTGGCCACTGGCCGTAGCTCCACCAGGGCAGGGCTGGAGGCCACTCGGCTGGCCGCCGACCGTAGCGCTGTGCGCTCTCCGACCACTGCTCTGTTGTGGCAAGCTGGAGGCCGCTCGCGCCCATGCGTGTGGCCATCACCGTGGAGGAGGTGCAGGCCAACGGTGAGGTCGAAGCCTTCTCACTTCTCAGAGGACCTGATATTCTTCGTGGCAACCTACCTTTTAGCTAAAACATGTGTAACACCAGATCTCCTTTTGCAACATCCAGACGAAACACTTGCGACATACGTTTAAAGAGAAATGAAACACTTAAAACATACGCCTGAAACATGCATGTATAGCCATAGCAAAATATGTAACATCCAGATCTACTTTTGCAACATCCAGATGAAACACTTGCATTTCTGAAACGCCTGAAACACTTGAAACATACGCTTGAAATATGCGTGTATAGCCATAACAACATATACACCATCCAGATGAAACACTTGAAACATACGTATGAAACACCTGAAATACTTGAAACATAGTCTTGCAACACGCATATATAGCCATGGCAACATACACAACATCCCAGATCTACTTTTGCAGCATCTAGATGAAACACTTGAAACATAAGTCTGAAATGCCTGAAACACTTGAAACACGACGTCGCTAGTGACTACGGCCTACCTGATGGAACTGTGGTAGCCAGCAAGCTCGATGTCGAGAACAACGGCCCAACGTACACCCAGGCGCAGGTGCAGGCCTCCCCTTCCTGCTGCGGTGTCTCTGGCAGGCCACGAGAGACGATGTCCGGACTAGTGGCGACCTCCTCCTAGTGCTGCCGGGGTGGTGGTTGTGCGGTAAACGTCGTGGCCGCAATGGGAGAGGCAGACAGGGGTCCGGTGGGGGATGCGGCATGGCGTGGCGATTTTTTTTGGTTGCCTCTCATCTGGATACAGCTGTAGCATCTGTTCGTACACACGCACACCCACTCAACACACGCACACAACTCACACCACCCGTGTACAAACAAACATATAGCTACACTCAGATCTGAAGACCGCGTCCTTCTTGAGATCACCGAAATCCACTGATTTCGTAGGCGACGGGCACGTCACGATCTCATTGTGGCAACACGCGTGAGAGGCAAACGCTTGGAAATTATTTGCTTGCACGAAGCAAGCAGTGCAGAACCGGGGTTCGAACCCCGGCCGGCCAGCTCCCACCATGGGAGCTTTGCCACTGTGCTACACGCGCGTCCGCATGGTGTGGCGATTTGGATGGGCGCGGGGCGGCGCAGCTGCAACGGCACGAGGCGGAGTCAGGATTTTTTTATGAGAGAGTTGGGCGAGGCCGAGTGAGTGGGAAGCCGTGTCTGGATGGGACAGACGCTCGTGTCTAAGCGTTTCAGAATAGAGACCGAACTAGATCTTCGAAATTAGTCATTGAAACCTAGATCTAAGTTTATTGTACACGTATAGAAGAATACAAGTCATTGTGCTCCGCAAAATATAGCTTCCACCTCAAACTTGACAACAAGAAAAGCATCTCAAAATACTAAATAACGTGACAAGCTAAAAAAGACAAGAACACATGATTGGCCTTCGAGACTCAGTCGCGCAACTAAAGTGTGCCTACAATCTCTCTCTTTTTTCGTTTTTGCGAGGAGTTGTGCGCCTACAATCGCATTGTTATGGAGCCTACGAAGGTGTTACGAGTCTCGTTTCCAATTCTACATAGGTGACGGCAGATAACAGCGAGGCAAGACGCCAGCATCTTTTTTTATTGCCAGGATACGGTGGCTGTTGCAATAATGCTCTGACTCTGAAAAAAAATCTATATTCATATAGGAGACCTGTACAACTGTCGTCTCTTTGAAAAGTACCATTAACACAATTGTTTTCTTAAATACGAACAGTGTAGCCGTCCCCCTGCGTGATGAAAATTAAGGAGTTCATCGCAGTAGTGAGAGTACGGACTCTACCATCGTACACCGACCAACTGATGATTAGCAGTTGTTTACGAGTCTTGAGCATTATTCTTCGTACTCGTACCCGAAAGCAAGCGCCTGATCTCTTTCTTTTGTTAAATAAAGGAAGGATCAAAGGAAACGTACGTGGATCTTTCTTTTGCGAAAGGAAACGAACCACGTTGTGCTGTGCCAATGTGAATTGTGATCGATCGAGTACTATATACGGGCGGCAATGTACTCGTACATGGAAATTCACCGCCTGCCACTACTGCTGCTGCTGGGCAAGTAAGACGGGCGATTAGGCGATATGATGGCTCCCGGTTGCTGCTGGGCTCGGGAGGGTAGAAATTCACCGTCGAAAGCAACAAGGAGCCAAGTACGCGCAGACTTTGGTAGGTGTCCTTCCTTCTCATGTAAAATAATTAATGCGTGGACAACAAGATCATATATGCTTGATGTTAAACTTATCAATGAGCTAGTGTTAGAGACTGTTAGGGTGGTGTGCATGTGTTTGCATTTCTGCCATACATAGTATACATCCGACTGTCGCAGAAACAGGGATGCCCTGTTCGCTTGAGCTTATCCGCCAGAATCGGCCTAACTTTTCAGCCACAACAAATCAGCCCTACAAACTAACTGCAGCAGCAATAAGTTCTGTCGAACAGGCTTCCTGCACCACCATGGTCAATGGTGAAATTAGCTCTTGAAACGAAAGCGATGGTTTACAGCTAGCACAGATATAACAACGGTGGTAGGGCCCGTGCCATCACCAGAACAGCGGCGGTAGCACAGTGCCAGCCAGCACGTGCAGCCGGGCATCCATGCATGCGCCTGGACGTATGGTTGGAGCCCTGCGGCCAAACCAAACGTCGATGCGAGACCTCCGTCCTGCGTCCTCTGCGCTCGGTACCTCGAATCCGGTCCAGCCGGCCCTCCCCTTCTCCCCTCCCGCGCAGCACACGGCCTGGCCCACAGCAGCAGCGGTGCAGCCGCCCCAGGCCCAGCGCACCCTCCCCTCTCCCGCGCGCAGCCACTGACAGCTGCGCCCCAGCGCCTCCTCTATCTTACCCACCGACAGGTGAGCCCGTCATGTCATCCCCTTCCTCCGGTCTCCTCTCCCCTCCGCCATTGCCGGGGAGCGAAGCTTGAGCCGCTCGCGAGGACCGAGCACCGCCGCGAGGACAAGTCCCCCCCCTGCCCACATCCACCACGCCATCACTCGTGTGTCACAGTGCGCCGCGACCCGCTCTCCCACGCGCTGAGTCAAGGCAGCCATTGACGGCGTGCTGCTAAAGCCCTCTGCGACCCAGCCCTCTCCTCCTCTGTCCCTATATATAAAGGGCGCCCGAGCTTCGCAGAAGCACGCCGCCACCGCCTCTCACCTCCCCGTGCTCCCTCTCTCGCCCTAGCAGCAGATCCCGACCTCCAAACCCTAGCTGGCCGCCACCGCCAAGCCGACCGAGCCGAGCCTTAGGCAGGCCACCCCCAGGCTGCTGACCCTTACCCCGCAGCCTCACGCAGAGGCCGCCAACTGCTGCTGGCTGATGTCCCTTTGCGGGCTGCATGTCAGCCCCTCATTTCTGAGAGTCCTAGGTGCATCTGTACTTGCGTCAAAAT